TGCCTTGTGACATTATAATATGTGATTTTGTGAATTTGTGCCTTGTGATATTATAATATGTGATGTTGTGTCGTATGATGTTATAGTATGTGATTTTGTGATGTTGTCAAGACAACGGTCATGCCCTCTGATTTTGATTTGACAAATGATCTCACAATCATTTCACAATCATCTCACAATGATCTCACCACCGTGGATATTGACACTTGATTTCTATAGGCAACTGATGGCGCGGTATAACAGATTGGTTTAGATAATCGATTGCTATCGATTGATTTGATGACACAGTAAACAGACACTACCATGTATACTGGATACAAATACACTGGCTCGTACAAGCTGTTTCCACAAGCAGCGGGATTACCCAATAAACTATAAATAACTCAGTAGGTCAAACATATGTCTTGATCACGAAGGTTAAAGGGCAGATGAAGTAATGGTATTCAAGTACCACTCTACCCGTGGTGCCATTAGAACTGAATGGGGACAAGAATGGTGTGTTTAGATACCAAGAGCTCTATTAATCGACCACACCAAAACCCGTAACCTAGATATTGATTGATAAAATTCTAGAAGAGATTCAATTTTTATTTTTGCTACATCTTTGAGAAGGGTTAATAAAATTACAATAGCTGAATGAAAAAACAAACAAAACAATAAAACACTGGCCATACAATAATTAATTTTTAATTAACCGTCACTTGGCTTCCCAAGAACAATTAGAGAATGACAGGTGGTAGGAATATTTACTTAGAGAAATGAAGCGTGCTTGAAGGCATAGGTGATTCTAATAGGTGGGTGAAAGAAGCTAACTCCCACCCGCCCCCCATCCTTATACCCCACCCCCTAAAATTTTGTAAGAAAAATTTTGGGGAAACGAAGGCCCATCCAAATTTTTAGAAATATTTCGTGCATATTATATATACAAAAATATATATACAAAAATATTCCATTATTAGTTATCTGTAATGCATAATTGTATAGCTATGTAGAGACTTCACATGCAAAATGTAGGCTTAACCCCCCCCCCCCCCCCACCACACACACACACATATAAACTTATACATACTTATGCATTTCTTGTTTTTGTAAAACTGAAAGGCTAGATCGCCTAAGTGAATGGTGTATTTAAAGACAAACATTAGATGTTAAGAAAAATAATTAATAAGCTTATTTTAATCCGATCCAGCTTTAAGTTTATATTGATTATATTATGTTTAATCCGATCAGGTTGAAGAGTGTATTGATTATTTTTTGTTTTGTTTTGACTAGTGGTCGCTATGTTTAAAGAGTAACAGCATTGATCAACGATCGATCTCTGATCAGCCGTATTGTTGCTCGTTCAGGTTTGGACGAACGCAGGCGTCAAATGGGGCCAGGGAACTCTGCCCTCGACCTGACTCTTTGTCCCTTCACACAGCGCCCCCCTGTGGCCTACTCTACAGGTGCCCATGTTGAATATGATTTTTTTCTATTTATAGAGTTCATATCTGTGCCGGGGTATACAGTTACAAAACTGTTGAGAATATTGAATGCTACTTACTTTAAGTTGGGCGAAATTTTTAAAAGATTTTTTTCCCATACACAACCAAAGGTCTGAGGCGTTACTTGTATTAAATAACGTCACAGGCCTTTTGGTGGGGTGAGGGGTGTGTGGTGTGACGTTTGTGACGATTTAATGTGTGGGAAAGTGTAGTGAGACTAATTTGTATTCATTAAAATAATAAAAACATAATAATAAACTTTTTAAAAAATGTTAACCTTAAACATAATTCTAATATTTTTCTTGAGTTAGTGTTTATGTATTTAGTTCAGATGGTCTGTCATTTTAAGACAAAGCGAAACAATCGGGATGGGGAGGGGGAGGATTAAAAGAACTTTGTGAACTTATACATGGCAGTGTGCCAGGCAACGACTCAGGGTTTCTTGTAGACTATTTCTCCGGGGGGCTTCCGGATAGCGAACTAAACATTTCCGGGGGGGGGGGGGGGATTCTGACAGTGGCTAAAATTGATTTTTTATTTTTTTATAAATTATATTTTTGTAAACTATTTAAAAGCGCTCATAGGAAGGGGGTGATGCCTGAAAGAAACTCTGCATGGATTTAATGTATGCTGTAGCTCAGCTTCTACCCCATTCATCTCCCATCTCCTGTAATTATCCATACGCACATTTCGTCGGAGTGCCGCCACTTCCACTTTTACCGAGCTACGCCTAGGTGATTGGGAAAATACAGATACCCGTACATTATTTTTATCTTAAAATTACAACAACAACAAAAACCCACCATTTTTTGCTGTCTGAAAATCAACGATTAAATAATTTAAAAATTATAATGTAATCTATCTCTTATTAAAAACACAAACTCTGTATAGCCCTTATATATGCATATTGTGTTTAAACCACACATTGCTTCGGGTATAATCCCACCCTCCGTGTGCCATATTACAAGTATTTACTTCGTGTATGCCCCCCCCCCCCGTGTCGAGTATTGACTCCCAACGCCTCCCGGGCGCGTCTTTTGTTCCTACCCCTCGGCCCTCTATTGTTCTGTCGTCATGGAAGTGTTGTTTCATTGTTCGTCCGTTGCGATCTATTCCATCGCGGAAATTAACTCTTGTTTTTATTAAGATTGGCCGTGGTCTATGGCAATGACATTTGCATTATTCGTGTTTTTTGAAGCAGGTGGTCGAAGGGGGGGGGGGGGTGATGAACACAAATAACAACTGTTTATTTGTTATTTAGGACTAACAGTACTTATTACAATTTGGGAGTGACGTATTGAATTCCGTTTTTTTTCTTTGTTTTAGCCTTTTCATTGATTTCTACCGAGGCTCTAACTATAATCCTACTGACCCTAACATTAATCCTAACCACAAAAGCAATACGTCGAGATGTTATTGTATGAATGGTTTCATAAGGTTCTATAAATCTATGCATTTTTATTAGAACGAGCCGGCCCGCGGCATAACATACGCCGCTATTTAGTTGTTGTTTTTTCTACTTTTCAGTCATTCATAATTTGTGAATTCGACAGTACCAACGCTGACACTGAAAATATTTCTTTAAAACACTATAAGTAGCTCGTTAAGGACCAAACCCCCCCCCCCCCTTCCTCCCCCCCCCCCAACGTTTAAAATCGTTTCAAACTAAATTATCTGCCCCTAATAGCCGTCACTAAATCCGACTCCACGAAGGTAGATATAGCGTGAACCACAGCTCACTAAGACACTGTAGGGGTGGGGATGGTAGGGAGCGCGTTTACAGCTTGTTTTCTAGCGTCTCCCAGAAGAGAATTATATATATAGATTATTTACATTTTTTTAGCGTGGGATAGGTGGGGGTGGGGGGGGGGTTATCGGCAAATAGTCATCACGATGCATAGCTATATTCTTCAAATATCTTTATATTGAATATATTTCTATGTTGAAGTTTTTATGGTTTTTAAGAATTTCATTGTATAGGAGGGAAGTAGTTATGGTTTTGTCAGGCTAGGGGCTGCTATACTTTTGGCTAATGAAATGTTACGGTCACGTTAACTTGCACTGTTTGAACCACGAAAATTGGCCACAGTTCCGCTAACACTAGAGGATAAACCACGTGACCTACCCCCCCCCCCCCCCCCCCGCAACTCAAGCAGACTTTTTCAATTGTCTAACGTCAAAGCAACGTTGCTAAAACAGAATAAGGCCCTTTGTTTTTGTATTCGGTGAGATGTATTACGAAATACTGTATGTGTAATACGACATGTACCAATGACGTCAAAAAAGTAGTCCCGAATTCTACGCCATTGATAAAAAGCACTTTAGTTTAAAAGTAGAAATGTGATAAGGAAAGTCCAGAAACACAATGATTGTAAACAGGTCGATCAATCATGCTTGAGATACATTACCCGACGAACCTTGGCGGAAAGAATAGCCCAGTCAAAATGGCGGCGGACCAATTTAAGCCACGTCTGCTTCCGGTTCTACGGACGTCACCGAGGTATGCATTTTTAAATTATATTTTAAAATATTCTTTTATTTTTTATTTTTAAAGATTGCTAGTGTTTCTTTGAGTAATTTACTACGTTTACAGCTTATTTTACAGCGAATGTGTTGAGTTTAAAATAAGGTATACACGCGTTGTTGGTCGGTAAAGAAATATCAGAATACTTAGCAGAGTTTCTACCAGGCATAGCTTCGGGTACCGACCCCCCTGCCCCCGATCGAAATGGAATGTATACAGAAAATATATACTTTTAACAGTGTCCGCGCCCCTCCCCCACCTCCCCCCACAAAACTTTAGTCCGACCCCCCCCCCCCCCCTCCTTCGAAAATTTCAACCCCCCCCCCCCCCCTCACCCGGAGAAAAAATTCTGGAAGAAACACTGATATCTAGATCAGTGGTTCTCATAATATTATAGAAAAGAGACTGTTAAAGGGGATACGGATTAAATCAAACAATTACGACAAGGGTATGTCCAATAGGTGTTGTGTCAGTTGGGTATTTTAAATGGGTACTTCAGAGTGTGTATAGTATAACATATGCCAATAAGTCTATTCACTTCAAAGTGGTGTGTCAGAAAATGTTTACAACAGGTTTGATAATATAGAACAGGGGTCTCCAAACTACGGCCCGCGAAGTCCTCTCATCCGGCCCTTGGAGATCTTTTTGTCCACGGAAAAAACGTTTGTTGGTGATGGCTGAGGAACTTTGTCCAGAAAAATCAAAGACATGTCTGGAAGTAACTGGCCCCAGAACTGAAATTTGATAGTTAATGCGGCCCTCGGACTGAAAAGTTTGGAGACCCCTGATATAGAATGTAGAATTTCAAAGACAATACTTCCTTCGCTTAGACGAGTGTAAAAATAAATACATGGCATATGACGTGTGATAACGTAGCATGACATTCAGTATGCCATGAAATGACATGCCAACGAATGGCGTGACACGCAGTGTGACATGTAATGACATACCAACGAATGACATGACACGCAGTGTGACATGTAATGACCAACCTGCTAGTGGCGTTCATGTTAGTGGCGGCCACTGTCCTGTTTCTGGTCCCCTCGTCCATCTTGGTCTCGATGTCCTTGTAGCTCTGGACAGGGACGATAATCAGACCTTCCACTGGGGAGACGAAGGCCAATTAACGCCCTTGTTAGATAATATGAATTACCGCCCCTGTTAGATAATGTCATGATTTACCACCCTTGATATACAATGTCATGATTTACTATTCACCATAGACCCCCTTTTTTACTCACTATAGACCCCCTCTCTACTCATCATAGACCCCCTCTCTACTCATCATAGACCCCCCCCCTCTCTACTCACCATAAAAACCCCGTCTTGGGGTGCTGTCTGATACGGAGACCCCCTCTCTACTCACCATAGACCCCCCCCTCTACTCACCATAGACCCCCTCTCTACTTACCAGACCCCCCTCTACTCACCATAGACCCCCCTTTCTACTGACCCCCCTCTACTCACCATAGAACCCCGTCTTGGGGTGCTGCCTGATACGAAGACCCCCTCTCTTGTTGCCACCGTTGGGGTCCAACAAGTCTCTCACCTGCTCGTTGTAGATCTCTAGCATGCTGTAGGTCACCTGGTGACAGAGATAGAATGTGGGTCACTAAAGTAGGTCACTAATGTGGGTCACCCAGTTACATAGATATATGGTGGGTCATTAATATGGGTCACCTGGTGACAGCGATAGATTGTCGGTCACTAATATAGGTCACTAATGTAGGTCACTAATGTAGGTCACTAATGTAGATCACTAATGTAGGTCACCTAGATACATAGATATGTTGGTTATTAATTTAGGTCATTTGGTGACAGAGATATTTTTTATCACTAATGCAGATCACGTAATAACAGATGTATTATGTGGGTCACTAATATAGGTCACCTGGCTACAAAGATATAATGTGGGTCACTAGAGGCAATATAATGTAGGTCATCTTTTGACAGAAATAATATGCAGGTCAACAGAAATATAATGTAGGTCAGCATGTGAAAGAAATGTTCTGGAACTATCTATGTCTGTGAATTCTTTGTCGTTTTACAAGAAAATACAATATATTACGCCTCTATAATTTGCCACCATATATATATATATATATATATATATATATATATATATATATATATATATATTAAACAGTTTCTCGGAGTGCTTGAGCATAGTTAATCAACCCCTGATTGTATGGTCCTGATAAACAAACTGATTTCATGTTGTACTTTACCTCATATTCTGTTTTGTCAGCCGCTTTTTTCTTCTCATCGATTCCTTTAAACATGTTCTCACAGAACAGTGGGACAACGCCTGGGGAAGTTAACATTTTTATTATTCATTAGGTCATAGGGAGAAGTTAACATTTCATTCATTCATTAGGTGATAGGGAGAAGTTAACATTTCATGCATTCATTAGGTGATAGGGGAGAAGTTAACATTTCATTCATTCATTAGGTGATAGGGAGAAGTTAACATTTCATTCATTCATTAGGTCATAGGGAGAAGTTAACATTTCATGCATTCATTAGGTGATAGGGAGAAGTTAACATTTCATTCATTCATTAGGTCATAGGGAGAAGTTAACATTTCATGCATTCATTAGGTGATAGGGGAGAAGTTAACATTTCATTCATTCATTAGGTGATAGGGAGAAGTTAACATTTCATTCATTCATTAGGTCATAGGGAGAAGTTAACATTTCATTCATTCATTAGGTCATAGGGAGAAGTTAACATTTCATGCATTCATTAGGTGATAGGGAGAAGTTAACATTTCATTCATTCATTAGGTCATAGGGAGAAGTTAACATTTCATGCATTCATTAGGTGATTGGGAGAAGTTAACATTTCATTCATTCATTAGGTGATAGGGGAAGTTAACATTTCATGCATTCATTAGGTGATGGGGGAAGTTAACATTTCATTCATTCATTAGGTGATAGGGTGAAGTTAACATTTCATGCATTCATTAGGTGATTGGGAGAAGTTAACATTTCATGCATTCATTAGGTGATTGGGGGAAGTTAACATTTCATGCATTCATTCATTAGGTGATAGGGGAAGTTAACATTTCATGCATTCATTAGGTGATTGGGGGAAGTTAACATTTCATGCATTCATTAGGTGATAGGGTGAAGTTAACATTTCATGCATTCATTAGGTGATTGGGGGAAGTTAACATTTCATGCATTCATTCATTAGGTGATAGGGGAAGTTAACATTTCATGCATTCATTAGGTGATAGGGTGAAGTTAACATTTCATGCATTCATTCATTAGGTGATAGGGGAAGTTAACATTTCATGCATTCATTAGGTGATTGGGGGAAGTTAACATTTCATGCATTCATTAGGTGATTGGGAGAAGTTAACATTTCATGCATTCATTAGGTGATAGGGGAAGTTAACATTTCATCCATTCATTCATTAGGTGATTGGGAGAAGTTAACATTTCATGCATTCATTAGGTGATAGGGTGAAGTTAACATTTCATGCATTCATTAGGTGATAGGGGAAGTTAACATTTCATCCATTCATTCATTAGGTGATTGGGAGAAGTTAACATTTCATGCATTCATTAGGTGATAGGGTGAAGTTAACATTTCATGCATTCATTAGGTGATAGGGTGAAGTTAACATTTCATGCATTCATTAGGTGATGGGGGGAAGTTAACATTTCATTCATTCATTAGGTGATAGGGAGAAGTTAACATTTCATGCATTCATTAGGTGATAGGGAGAAGTTAACATTTCATTCATTCATTAGGTGATAGGGAGACCTTCTCTCTCACACCTACTATCTGACATAAGATTTCTTTTTATTACCATTCCACTTAACAAGACATACCTTTTGACCTACGATATAAGACCTACTGTGTATATCTGCTATCTGACCTAAATATAACATCTACTATTATGACCTACTATCTAAGACCTAATACATAAGACCTACATCTGACCTAAAAATAAGATCTCCTATATTAGACCTAACATCTGACCTAAGCATAAGACCCACTAATACCAACTAGGACCTACTATCTAACACCTATATCTGACCTAAATGTAAGACCTACTACCTAAGACTTAGTAAGACCTACTACCTAAGACCTACGATCTATAACTTACCACCTGACCTAAATATAAGACCTTATACCTACTACGACCTACTAACAACGACCTACTAACAACGACCTACTAACAACGACCTACTAACAACGACCAACTTACAACGACCTACTAACAACGACCTACTAACAACGACCTACCACCTGACCTACTCTCCTAAACCACGCCCCCACTCACCTTTATTGACGCCATAGCCGACGATTGACCAACTTTTGCCGGATCCGGTCTGACCGTAGGCAAACAAGGTCGAGTTGAACCCGTCCCATGCGTTCTTCAACACACCCTCACCTAGATCCTGGTAGACTTTTTTCTAAGGAAACATTGGATACTGGGTTATTGAGGGGAACACACGCTATAGGGAACATCTTACAGGTACAGAGGTTAAAACATCTAGGGGAACAGTTGACACGGGGTTATTGAGGGGAACACACGCTATAGGGAACATCTTACAAGTTCAGATGTTAAAACATCTAGGGGAACAGTTGACACGGGGTTATTGAGGGCACACACGCTATGGGGAACATCTTACAGCGGTTAAAACAGACTTATAGTAGATTATTTTACAATAAGTTACGGAGCTAAAACTAGACTTTACACGGGGAGGAAATTTGACAGAGGCTAAAATAGACTTGATAGGTTAAATGTTAAATTGTAAATGTAAGACTAGCATAGACTTTACATTATATATTGTCAAACACTGAGTTTGCATAGGAAAGTGTTAGATGAAATAGTAGAGGGTAACACACAGATGCGGGGCGGGGGTGCGGATCGCACCGGGTGACACCATTTAGGGGATGACACCAAGGCAAAAAATAGCAAAATATATAGAGAAAAATTTGAGGGGTTTGGGGGTGCAAATCGAAAGTTTGAAGGGGGGTGCAAATCGAAAGTTTGAGGGGGGGGGGTGCAAATCGAAAATTGAAAGTTTGTCCCCGGGAAGGGTCGCTACGCCTCTGGTGGGTGACACCATTAAGTGCCGCACCAGGTGACACCCGACCTCGGGAAAGTGTTAGATGGAATAGTAGAAGGTAATACAGACTTTACGCTGAATTATTGAGACATATACAGACTTGACAGGAAAGATTGTGTATATCGTTGAGGCCAATACAGACTTCACATAGATCTAGTAAGTTTTTACACTGGGTTAGAGAGGCTAACATTGATAAAGTGAGTTGGTATATTGGCTTTATGTCTGTAGGCAACTATCACAAAGTACCGTGGAATGGACGAGCTGTTAAAGGTAATATGTTAGTCTTTATGTAAAATTAAAGTAGACATCAATTGTTTCTGTGAAGAGATAGTGTGGTCAGCACTATGCCCAGCCGCCTTTACTAAATTTTCCCTAACGTGAGTTAGGTACCCATCAGAGTTGGGTGGACTCAGGGACAGTGTACTGACTTAAACCTGTTGCCGACTCTATTTGAGTAATCGGCAATATCTGATAGCGATGTTTTTAAAAAAATCGAACATTCTGGTGTTGGATGGGAAGGGATGTTGTATACCACATCTTCATGTTGTATCATCTTGATTTTGAAAAAAAATAATTCTATATGGGATATTTAACATTATATTCAGTCACATGACTTTCCCACGCTACTAGATGTTCTATCACCTACACAAAAACAGAGTTTCTTCCAGACATCTCTTCGTGGGGGGGGGGGGGGAAACACCCGAAGAAAGTCTACCGCCCCCCCCCCCCCCGCCCCCCGAACGACATGGAATTTATATAGAAAACATACTTTTACCGTTGTTCGGACCCCCCGGAAAATGTTGAACGCCCCTCCGAAAATATCAAGTGCCCCCATTCCAGAGGCGTAGCGACCCTTCCCGGCACCCGGGGACAAACTTTTCGATTTGCACCCCCTCAAGATTTTGAATTGCACCCCCCTCAAACTTTCGATTTCCAACCCCCCCCCCCCCCCCCATAATAGACCATATTTTGGGGGGCATCAAGATTTCGATTTGCACCCCCCCCCCCTTCAAACTTTCGATTAGCACACTCTCAACTTTTCAATTTATTTTTCCAACCCATTTTGGCGCCCCTTAAGATCGGCGCCCGGGTAAATAGTCCCCCCCCCACCCCCTTCGCTACGCTACTGCCCCCCCCCCCCCCCCCCCCCGGAGAAAAACGTCTGAAAGAAACACTGCACACAAAAAACGTGAATCTGACTGAGAAAACACTAAAAAAGATGTTCACCTGATCAGCAAATTTCTTCCCGTTGGGGTGTGACGTATCTGGGACAAAGGTGCCGTCTGGCATCTCTTTGCAGCCGTCGTGAGACCAGTAGCTGTAGTCGAAGTTGAACTTCTTCTCCTCCCCGGAGTTGGGGTCTTTGATGACGGTCGTTGACCCCGTCATCTCCACGATCAGCCCGGCATTTCTCGACTTCTCCCTGGTGTTGTGTGCTGGGTTAAGGGAAATCTTCGGGGGGTTTTATCATGGCGGTTTTGTGTGGTCGTTTGGTGCATTTTTTGTTGTTGAATAAGTGGACAATAGTAGATTGTTGGTTTAAATTGTTTTTAAAACTCTGTGATGGTCAATAGTATTTCGTTGGTTTAAATATAATTTGAAAATTAGTTTACTAAGGCAAATAGTAATTTAACTTAAATATAATTTGAAAAATTATGTACTATGGCCAATAATAGTTTGTTAGCTTAAAAATAATTTGAAAAATATTAGTGTGCAATGGCCAATAGTAGTTTGTTAGCTTTAAAAAAATGTGTGTACTATGGCGAATAGTAGTTTGTTAGCTTTAAAAATTCATAAAAAAACGTTTTAATAACAAGCTTTTATGTAATAATGCACTAAAAAGTAGAAAATAAATTATAGACTACTATTTAAATAACTATAAAGAAAAGCGTGGGTCACTTTAGTATCTATTGGAAACCTTTACTAATGTTAAGGAAGACACCCACGCTTTTCTTTCTAGTTATTTAAATTTAAATAGTAGTCTATAATTTATTTTCTACTTTTTAGTGCATTATTACATAAAAGCTTGTTATTAAAACGTTTTTTAATGAATTTTTTTCAGTACTTTACATGTTTTATTTACAACAGAGTTACATGACTAAAAACCATTGCGCGCCTACTGAGCGTGTTGGCGCAGCCATTGAACGTGATGGCGCAGCTATTGAACGTGATGACGCGTGTGGTGTGGTTGGATAGACATGCCTACTAATTCGGTCCAAATTTTAATTAATTCATAAAAAATTAATTAGGCATCCAATTAAGTCAAATTTAATTTCAGATTGCATTGTCTTCATGTCTTGACCCACGTGCCAACTTTGAATCGTATCGGTCAAGTAGAACTGTCCGAATTTTCACTCCAGCGTTTCGATCCAGACAGACAGACTGACGACTGACGACAGAGGAAGTGAGTTAAATAAAAGCTTGTAAAAATCATTTGAAAAAAAAAACAGTATGCTATGACCAAAAGTAGTTCGCTGGTTTACATATAGTTTTAAAAAATTGGTTTACTATGGCCATGACTAGTTTGTTGGTTAAAAAATTAATTTTGAAAAATTAGTGTGCTGATGCCTGTTGTAGTTTGTTGGTTTAATCACGTGTTACATGAGGGGAGGGGGTATTCTAGAAAGTTCTGCGACTGAGAAAGATCATAAACATTCTCCCAAGTCCTTACTATCACTTATTTTTACCCTTTTTCCGAATACTGCTTAGTCATTAAGAATTCATGTGAGACTACCACTACAGTCAAATTAATGAGCGCAGTAATTATAGTTTATTAATCAAAACGTAACACCCCGTCTAATGCTTTATAACATACAATCAATTAAAAGTAATGAACACAGTATTCATGGAGTAAACCAATTAAACTGTACCCCATTGAAATCGATGTAAACCAATTGTTCGACCGCCGAAAAAAGGCTTTAATGTTAGCTATCGATTACTTTGGAGATCTTTATTGATTAGTTTGAAGCATTTGATCGATTCAAAGAGGAGTTGAATTACCAGGGCAAATTAGGGTGTAAGTGAAAGCTATGGAATTGTTCTCTTTCGTGTAATTAGCAACAAAATATGGTCTATTAATTGTGTTTTTAATTAAGACTATATAACATATGAAATTATAATTAGATTTCATACAACTTAAATGCGAAGCCTTATTATGTTAGGCCTACATAAATATGGGATCACATCTATAGGCGTGGCCCGAGTAATTTTAAAGCTTGTAACCATAGAATCTCACTGAAACTATTGTATCCTGGTCAGGGGCGTAGCGAGGGGGGGGGGGGGTGGGGGGGGTGGACCGCACCGGGTGACACCATTTAGGGGGGTGACACCAAGGCAAAAAATAGCAACATATATAGAGAAAAACTTGAGGGGGGTGCAAATCGAAAGTTTGAGGGGGGGGGGGTGCAAATCGAAAACTTGAAAGTTTGTCCCCGGGAAGGGTCGCAACGCCTCTGGGGGGGGGGGGGTGACACCATTAAGTGCCGCACCGGGTGACACCCGACCTCGCTACGCCACTGATCCTGGTTCAGATATTGTTTGGATGTATGCTTATGGTGAAGTTGCGGTTCCATATTAGGTTCAGGTAGATTGCTTTTAGAAAATGATTTAGAATTAGGTTCAATATATCTTTATCATTCATAATGAGGATAAAAAGCCGAATGAAAATAAACGTATGTATAATCAACTCTCTTCTCTACCAACATCTTTTCTATTGCTTAAGACCGAAAAGGTTTGTGTGGCAGGGGGGGGGGGGGGAGGAGGGGGGGGTGATTTTTTAACACATTAGCCAACAATATGTCATCTTATATCACAATTACAAAAATATCCTTTAACACTTATTTGTTTGTTCTTTTTATTTAACCAAACTTTAAATATAGTTGTCATTGATAAATGTACATAAATAGCTGTCCCTAATATGTACTCAAATACGTTTACAACAATAATTAAACTATGAAAATTAAAACAGAACCGTAATTTAATGGTTATAAATAAACAATATTGATGAATTAAAATAATTAAACTAAGAAAATTAAAACAGAACCGTGATTTAATATGGTTATAAATAAACAAAATTGATGAATTAAAATAATTGAACTAAGAAAATTAAAAAAGAACGTAAGGATATGAATGGTCGCACCCTCACTGC